GAAACTTACAGAATACAGAATGGCCTGGACAAAATGGATGTTGGGAAGATGCTTCCATTGGTAGGAGAGTCTAGGACCCGAGGGCACAGCCTTAGAGTAAAGGGAAGGCCTTTTAGAACAGATATAAGGAGAAACTTTTTCAGCCAGAGAGTAGTGAATCTATGGAATTCACTGCCGCAGAAGGCTGTGGAGGCCAGGTCATTGAGTACATTTAAGACTGAGATAGATAGGTTCTTGATTATCAAGGGGATCAAGGGTTACGGGGAGAAAGCAGGAGAGTGGGGTTGAGGAACTTATCAGCCATGATTGAATGGCGGAGCAGACTCGATGGGCTGAATGGCCTGATTCCTGCTCCTATGTCTTATGGTCTCGTTTTTCTGGCATTAAGGGAGAAATTGTTATCTTTACACCACACCACTAAGCACTGTACACTTTATAAGCAGGAACAGTGACCCCCCTATCATCTTTATCCAGCTTGCCCATTATTTTGAAAACATTTATCAAATTTCCTTTCAGCGTTATCTCTAAGTGAAACATCCCAATCTCCTTAATCTATCCTTTAAAACTAAAGTTTCTCATTCCTGCAGCATACTTGTGATCTTGGAGCACTTCTTCATTCTCTCCAATGCCTTTACATGTGTACATTAATATGGCATGCACATCTGTACACTGTTCTATAGCTGAGGTCCAACAGGTGTCTTGCACAAGTGCATCATCACCACCTTCTCTTGTACCCTGTGCCTCTATTGATAAATCCAAGGACACTGTGCTTTATTTACTGCTCTCTCCACATGTCCTTCTACCCTCAATGAAAATCATCTGCCACCTATCTGGCCACACCAGCCTATCAATATCCTTTTGGAGTTCCACACTGTCCTGCTCTCAATTCTGCCAAGTTTTGTGATACCTGCAGGCTTCGAAATTGTCTCCTCCATGCCAAAATCCGGACCACTAATATACAGCAGTAAAAGCAAATGTTCCAATACAGAATCCTGAGGAAATCCGCTACGGACCACCTTCGAGCTGAAAAAATCTGTTGATCATCACCCTCTGTTTCCTATCACTGAGCCAATTTTATATCGTGTAGCTGCTGTTCCTTTTTATGCTATGACCCATAACATCCCTCAATGGGACTGTTGCGTGGCGCTGCAACAAAAGTCTCAAGGTCCTTTCTATTACCTCCAAAGTTAGTTAACCATGATCTCTTCTTCAGAAATCCATGCTGACTCTTCCTAATCATCCCACTGTCCTCTTATTCTCTTTACTTCAAGTCTTCAGTACCACACAACTTTGCTTGGAAACTAGAATCTGATTGTGAACGTGGCACGTGTGAGTACACACACAGACACAGGCACACAGGTGTACAGATTAATCTGAACCCTAGTGTCAGACTGTGATTGATGTGAAGCCCATGAAACAATAAAAATGGGTCCTCGAACCTTCTCTGAATAATTAGGACAAACCTAATACACACCCCTCTTCCCCACCAGAGAAACTCACTTATATGAGAAAACCATAAGCAGCCCTCTGATAAATTCCATGCTTGAATAGGCTTTGAAACAGGAGGAGTGGGGAATGGCCCCATCTGTGGAATAATTGAGAGTTTCCCGATTCTTCCTGGTTCCCAAAAAAATTTATTTCTTAAATGTTATTGACAGTCATGAGTGGTCGAAAATTCCTTTAAATCCCGATACCTGTGTTAATAACTGATTTTATACAGATGTTTTTCAAAGGCATCGGACCTTTTTATATAGTGTTACTGTGAATTTAATAGTGGGACCAAATTCCCTTATGCTGTAACAAAACCTAAGGTGCTGTGGATGCTGGAAATCAGAAACTAAAACAGAAATTGCTGGAAAGGCTCAGCAGGTGTGGCAGCATCTGTGGAGAGAAATTAGAGTTAATGTTTTGGGTCCAATGACATTCAGCCTGTTGAGTCTGCACCAACCCTCTAAAAAGCATTCCACCCTATTCCCCGAACCCTGCATTTCCCACAGCTAACCCACTTAGTCTGCACATCCCTGGACATGGCCAATCCACCTCGCCAGCACATCTTTTGACTGTGGGAGGAAGCCGGAACACCTGGTAGAAATCCACGCAGAGGTGGGGACAATGCGAAAACTCCACACAGTCGCCTGAGGCTGGAATCAAACCCGGGTCCCTGATGCTGTGAGGTGACAGTGCTAACCACTGTGCCTTGCTGCCCTTCTACATGGGTGTAAATGAGAACAAAGGTTTGCCAGTGATCAAGAACACGCAGTCATGTTTTTCCACTCCTATGTTTGTAGTTCAGAGCAAAAGATGTAACGTAGCTATAAAGTTACGAATCGGCAGGGGGTGATGACCTTTCTGCCATCCAAGCTTTATTTCTTCTCTTTTTTTACCCGTCCCACGCTGCCTCAAATATCTGAAATACTATCAAAAGTATCAGTTCTATTTTAAGTGTCTGCTTCCTCAGGAGGAGCTAAAGATTTTGTAAAGCTGTATGGTTTCACAGAATAGTGGTGAACAGAATGTGTCTAATTGCGGTGGATGTTATTTTATCCATGTGCACTTTTTAGAAGTACTTCAGGATACTTGAATGATCATTGTCCATATTATTTGAATACAACATTAAATAAACCACATTGCAGAATTAACCTTTTTACCAAAAGAAGAGTTAGCGTGCATTAAACACTGATGTCGAATTGACCTACCATAAAGCATGAAAATTGTAGGAGGCATAGTGAATCTCCTATGTCTTTCCCATGGAAAGTTGAGACAAAGTGAATCTCTGACCTCAGAGTATTAATGATGTACATGAATATTTCTGGGATCTGGATCTGCTGTTCAATCTGGAGATGTGACTTTGGCCCAGAATGTTGACATCCAAATAAAATGCACGTGCCAGTGAGAAGATTCTTGGCATCAGATTAGAGGAGGGATGTAAAGGATTTAGAGGTTTCAGGAAAATTTCTAACAATGTTTCCATGGATGAAGGATCGCACTTCCATGGATAGCTTAGAAAAGCTGGGGTTGCTGTGTCTTGAGAAAAGTTTCTAAGGGGAGATTTGATGGAGGTATTCAAAATCATGAGAGTTCAAGACAGGGTAGATAGGGAGCAACCCTACCCATTGTTAGAAGGCTTGAGAACCAGGAGGTTTAAAGTCAAAATTGTGAAGTGTCAAAAAAAACCCAACAGTGCCCTGAATGTTTTTGTTTACATAGCATGTTGTTAGGATTTGGAATACAGTGTGTAAATGTAATTGAGGCAGATTCAGTTGTGATTTTCATTAGGGAATTGCAGAAGTACCTGAAAAGAGAGAATGTTGAGGCTTGAGGAAAGGGCAGGGGATTGGGACTAACTGGGTTGCTCTTGCAGTGAGCCAGCAGGGACCTGATGAGATAAAGAGTCTCCTCCTGTGCTGTAACCAATCTATGATGCACTGCTTTTCATAAGCAAGTTTATTTATCTCTTCAAACTTGCAATTTGTGTTTTATTATAATAGACCAACAAGGAAGCACAAGACTTTAATTTAGTATGAGAAGCTGAGGCAGTGGTGAATGCTCTGAACCTGTATTGGAGAAACAGTGAATTTGATGGGATGTGGCATATGCAAGTCAAACATCAAAGTAGCAACCATTTTTACATGTGCTGTTTCTAGGTGTATGCTTCAGAAATCCTTTCCCAAGATTGACCAGTGAATCCAGTGATGTCCCAGAGAGCATTTTCTGGATTTCTTCAGTACTTTTTCCAGATAGGTGTAACGGGCAGGCCCAATCATTGAAACCTTGTATTGGAAGTGTAAGCATGTTTTCCTTGTACTCTGTGGTGAAATATTCTTTTACAAATTAAATTGCTACACTCTCCTCCATTCCCCCACCCCCTCCACTCAGACCATTTTTTTCATCTTGAGGTGATCTTCACTTAGGTCTGTGTTAATACAACCACTTGAGCCAGCTGTCAGGGACAGATGCAAGAGAGTGCTATCTTTTAACTTGTTTTTCATTTTTCTCTTGTCTAGATCCTGTTGCTGACAGCTGGCTGATGCGCGGTATTGCGTGTGTGTGTGTGTGTGTGTGTGTGTGTGTGTGTGTGTGTGGATCCTTGTTTGTCTTGCTTGTTCTAAATGTCTCCCAGATGATGTGATGTACTGTGCTGTGCGAACAAAACTTATGTTTATTTCTGTAAAAAGCCAGGCTCCAGAGTGGGGCTGCAGCGACGCCCGTACAGCTGATCCTGTACTTGCAGCGGATTGAAACATTTCCTGTGATTATAGCATTGATATTGGCATGATAACTCCTGTTCCAGTGCTGCCACGCTGAGACTGAAGGAATTAAATATTGATGCCCACTGCCACCTACAGGCGCTACATAGCAACGAATGGTCTCAGCAGTTTAATTTATTCCAATCTTAAGAACTGATTTGGTTCTGCTAAGCAGTACAGCTGTATCCTCTGCTTTTGGTTTCTCTGTATATGAAAAGACCTCTTCATTCTCGATACAGGACTCTTGACTGCCAGAACTGCATATTGGCTATTTGAGGGTATGTGGCAAGTAAGGCTTCCTGCCGAAAGAATGAAGTTGCAAAATTAAATATAAAAGGAAAATTGAATTTGAGCCCCATTGGCCTTTTTAAAAGTTAATCAGTCACCATTGCAGGGGTGAACAGTGTCAACCATTAAGAGCTTCTTCAACCACTCTTGGTTCCACACTCAGGGATTTCTGGCTTCCTAATTATACTTCAGGTCCTACACCCTCTTCAAGGCCTTTTGAAAAGGAATGCCATTTGGCACCTGATATGTTACGTTTAGATTATCTCTTGGTCATTATCACATTACTGTTTGTGAGACCTTGCTGTGTGCAAAATTGACTGCAGTATTTCCAACATTTCGAAATGTTTCCAATGCACTTAATTGCTTATAAATTAATTTGAGATATCCTGAAGTCATGAAAGGCACTGTATAAATATGTCTGTCCTTTAGGTAGAATCTCTGACTTATCTTGCTTTAATCTTAAAGGGCATTGCGGGAACAGATGTGGCAAAGGAGGCCTCGGATATCATCCTGACAGACGATAATTTTACCAGTATTGTTAAGGCAGTGATGTGGGGCCGCAATGTGTACGACAGCATCTCAAAGTTTCTGCAGTTCCAGTTGACAGTAAATGTGGTTGCAGTCATTGTGGCATTTACTGGTGCTTGTATTACCCAGGTATGCCCTTACACAAAGCAACACTTTGTTGAATGAAATTAATTTCACTCTGTCTTATTATTTAGCTTAGCTATATTTTCTTTGTATTTAAGTGTGACCATTCTTAATGTATTGTGTGTTTACTGTGTTCTCCTCAATTCCGAGTTTCGTGATCAGAGTGTTCTTGTTGTAGCATCATTGGGTTTCATTTGATAAGTCACTGCAAGTCCCTATTTATAGGCTAACTTATAATATCAGTGTGATAGTCTGATTGTTTGAAGTAATTTTGGAGGATTTCAAAAATAAAGACAAAAACGTTTGCAAAAGTAGCAGTAATAACAGCAATGAGGCAATAACAAGTCAGCAGGTTATAACCAGTGAACTCTCCTTTGACTGACTTATTTACAACCAGATCCTGATTATTGTTAGATGCAGTATTTAAAAATAGAAGTATTACTATGTACTGTAAATTGGGCAGTATGTAAGGCAGACAGGAAAAGTAAATTGCTGTACAGCACAAAATGTAATTGCTTTGTTCAAAAAAGAATGGAGACAGAAAGCAGAAAACTATAGGTTAGTCTGCTCAACATCTGAGGGATGCTGTATGAAGCTATTATTAAATGTTATTACAGTTCACTTGGATTCAAACTAAAGAGGAATTAAAATGGTTTTGTGAAAGACAAATCCTGTTTAACCAATTTATTAAAGAAATACAATGTGCTTTGGATAAAGGGTATCGTGGATAGGTGAGAATATGGAGTAACCTGACCAACTATGATCTTATTGCAAGGTGGAGCAAGTGGCATAGCCTGTTCCAAGTCGGTATGTTTTTTCCTTACTTTGTGACGTGTATTTAGGAAGAACTTCCTAGTGTAAGCCTCCATTTTAGCTAAAGGATAAACTAGATGAGCTCTACAGGAGACCACAATCACTGAGTTACTGATAGTTTTAGAGTAACATTGGAAATGTGCTTATAGCCAAGGCAAGAAGTGGTAAGGCCACATTGAGAACTAAGGTAATGTCAGTGGATGAAATGTGACCCATGATGTAATTCCTTTAGCATTTGTGATACAGCAGCAATTTTATTTTAAACAAAACAAAGCAGTGGATTTATTTCTTTATTATTCTCAACCAGGATTCTCCACTTAAAGCTGTTCAGATGCTCTGGGTAAATCTGATCATGGACACGTTTGCTTCTTTGGCTCTGGCAACCGAACCACCAACAGAATCTCTTCTGCTTCGCAAGCCTTATGGCAGGAATAAGCCACTAATCTCTCGGACAATGATGAAGAACATCCTGGGTCATGGGGTTTATCAGCTCACTATTATCTTCACACTTCTCTTTGCAGGTCTGTGGATCCATTAGTACGTTTGCTTTCTTTGTATTTAATTTCAACAACAAAACCTGAGTAAAGCAATTAACTTGGAGCTGTGCATGTATCCTGGGGGGAAGTGTTTTTTAAAATCTGTCACAACACTCTACAGAGTGGTAAAGCACTAATATAAACAGCTTCTCATCCAACATTACTGAAACCTTTTCAGCAATCTGGAAGCAAAAATCCATGGTTGCTTTTAAATTTTAATTTCAAGTCTTCCGTCACGGTTGAGTATAGTTCAAACATTGTGATGCAGTATTACACAACTGCAATTGTTTCACTTAGTCATTTAATTATTTCCTATTGCAATCACTGAATCAACATCCGGAGTTTGCCATTGACCAGAAACTTAACTGGACCAGTCAGTTAAAAACAATATGGTTACACAAGCAGTTCAGAAGCTGGAAATTCCGTAGACTGCAACTTACGGTCTGACTCCCCAAATTCTTGGAATGAGTCCAGCTCCAACAACATTCAGGAAGCTTGATCCATCCAGGACAAAGTAGTCCACTTGATTGGCAACCCATCCATCATATTGAGCTATCATTCCTACCACCGCTGTCACATAGTGGCAGTTGTGTGTATTACATACAAGATGCATTTATCTCAACCTATCATCCTTCCTTTGATTGTATCTTTCAAATTCATTTAAAAAAAAACATCTAGAAGGTCCGGTGTTATGTGAGAACTCTACCTCCTCCAAGCCACACACCATCCTGACTTGGAACTAAATCGCTGTTCCTTCACAGTCACTGGCCTAAATCCTGGAAACTGTTAGTTAAACCACAGGGATTGCAGTGGTTCCAGTTGGTGGCTCACCACTGCTATGGGGCAATTAATGATGGACAATAAATGCTGGCCTAGTGAGTGAAGCCTGCATCCGATGAAAGAATAAATTTTAAACTATAAATGTGTTTTGTTCCCAGTGTGCAGAGCCATGTCAAACTTGATACTAGAGTATCCTCCTATAAGCACTGTCCAAAGAGCAAGTGTATGTATTTATGTCAACTTGTGAATATGAATTGTCATTATAGTATTCTGCAACTGTAGAGAAGAACTTAAGAGCTAGGAGCTGGCATAGGCAATTCAGCTCCTTGAGCCTGCTGCAACATTTGATACAATTGTGGCTGAGCTCATCTTGGCCTCAACTCCACTTTCCTGTCTGCTCTCCATAACCCTTTACCCCATTACTCATTACAAATCTGTCTATCATCTCCTTAAATTTACTGAATGGCCCAGCATCCACCGCACTCTGGGGTTGTGAATTCCACAGATTTATGATCCTCTCAAGACAAGTAATTTCTCCTCATCCCTGTTTCAAATCTACCAGTCCTTATCCTAAAACTATGACCTCTTGTTCTAGATTGCCCCACATGTGGAAACATCCTCTACGTCTACTTGGTCAATCCTCTTTAACATCTTGTAAACCTCAATTAGATCTCCCCTCATTCTTCTAAACTCAGTCATTGTGTAAACCAAATAAACCAAAGTCTTTCCATCCTTAAAAGTAAATTAAGATAGGATCTGCTGTGTGAGACAAGTAGAATGTGCATTTTTTTGTGCCACAATTAGCAATTCGTATAAATCACATTGACCAGGATATGTAAAGACTCCTTGTTCATAGCCCTCTTGGGAGTACAGTGTTTATTTTGGGTATTGAGCCACAGGGAAAATATCTTGCCCTTGTGAATATTCTAAGCATGAATTAACAGAATTTCACTAAGTCTTCTTAAAAGATTAAATTAAGAAGAAAGATTGAATAAACTTGACACCTACTCTTAATCACCTCTGAATTTCTAAACTTAGTGTGTTTCAAATAGAGTTAGATTATTTTGAAATGAAATAATGAAGCATTTTTCTTAGAGGGTGGTGGAACACTCTGAAAAGATTGTTCACGCTGGGTCAAATATGTTTAATTGTTCTTAATCAGCTCATTCAGGCTGGAGAGCAGTGGCATAGTGGTACTGTTGTTGGACAAATAATCCAGAAACCCAGGCAGCATTCTGGGGATCTGGATTCAAATCCCACTGTGACAGACATTGGAATTTGAATTCAGTAAATTCTATGATTTAAATGTCTCACGATCAATTGTTGCAGAAACCCTATCTGGTCCTTTTTGATTTTAAAGACATCAAGGAGTATGGGTTGAAAGTGGCATTTTGGCATTTAGGGGATAATCCATGATCATATTGATGATACCTCAAGAGGCTAAATGGCCTTATCCTGCTCCTAGTTTCTATGTTTAGGAAAGGAAAGCTGCCATTTTTACTTGATCTGGCCCACTTGAGACTCCAGACCTATAGCTATGTGGTTGACTTTTAACTGTCCTCTGAAATGGCCTAGCAAGCCATTCAGTTATATCAGTGCACAAAAAGCCTCTTTTTAAAACAAAAAACAGAATAGACTACTTAGTGTTGACTAAGTCTCTGGAAATGACGATAGCAGATACAGCCCTGTCAACCCTGCCAAGTCCATCTTACCGACATCTGGAGGCCAGTGACAAAATTAGGATAGCTGTCCCATAGACTCGTCAAGTTACAGTCAACATTGTGTGTAAGGTATGATTCCTTGAGTTATGACTCTGTCCCAGACACCACCATCACCAATCCTGGATATGTCCTATCCCAGCGGTAGGACAGATGCATTCACTTGCTTGAACAAGTGCGGATCCAACAACATTTGAAGCTTGACACCCTCCAGGATAAAGCAGCCTGCCGTGATTGGCATCGTGACTGCAAGCATTCAGTCCCTCCACCACTGGCACCCTGTAGGAGATGTGTGTGCTACCCACAAGATACTACGCTGCAAAAGTTCACCAAGTCTCCTTGGACAACACCTTCCAATCCCTGCTATCTCGCAGGATACATGGGATCACAAACGTCTACACATTCCCAACTAAGCCCCTCACCATCCTGAGTTGAAAATATGTCGCCATTGTTTCAGTGTCTTTGGGTCAAAATCCTGGGACTTCCTACTTAATGGCATTGACAGTCTGTTTACACCAAATAGACTGCAGGGATCCAAGAAGGCAGCTGTCTGCCTAGCTAGCGACACTGACACCCCATGAATACATGTTTAAAAAGACATGTGACAAACACTGAGGAAACTTGGATTTGATCTTTTGGCTTGGAGGTAGGGAGACTACCATTGTGTCACAGGAGATTAAGGTTAAGATTGTTATTCGTTGATTTGAGATTGTCAAAGGATATCACAGTCAAAGTGCAGGCCTCCATTATTTAATTGAATAGTAGAACAAGTCCGCAGAGCTGAATAGACTGCACCTGTTTATATATCATTAGAGATGAAGTCATTTGAGTCATGAGATTATAGGTTTTGGCAGATAATTGTAGATGTTGAGGTCCAGACAGCTGAAGACATTAACAACAACGGGCAAAGGGATTGTAGTTAAGCAAGGTTTCGAGGAATAAAGTTTTCAGATGGTTGTAGAGCTGGTAAAGGTTAGACATGGGGCTTGGGAGACAGAAAGTCAGCATGGATCAATGAGTAGGTTAATGGATGAGTTTAAATTTATGAAGGCTTGAGGATGAAAAGCTGGCCAGTAGAACATAGGAATCATTGAGAATGGAGCTGACAGATGGATGAGAGCTTTGGCAGCAGAGGGCCAATGTAACTGTTTTTATGGTTTCAGATGTTATGAGGTCAGAAGCTCAACCTGGCAGCAGGTTGGACCCCAAGGTTGTTAACCGTCTGGTTTAATTTGTGATGGTAATTGTTCAGGAGTGGAATCAATGGCGAGGGTATATAGTTTGTGGAGTCAGCCAAAGGCATTAACATCGATCTTGAAATTCAAGCTCCGCACACTGTTCGAATGTACAAAACACCCTGTTCAATTTGCTCAGGCTCTAAACAGCAAAGAGGCGATATTCAGATGATGCTGATTGGTGGATGACTTGCCTAGTAACTATCGATATATCGGTATATGCTTTTTAAAAACAAGATTATGCATTGTCCCAAGTTTAGTTTTTTGAAGATTTAACTCCCACTATTTATATTCCACGTTCCAAGCCATGAATCACTTTGTACTTGCTCAGAACCTTTTCCCAGGCTTGAATAACTGAGCTCCACCTAAATTCATCTCCTCTCCCAATCCCACGTTTAGAAAATGCCCTTGTTTCTTGCAGCATTGCAGTGCTTTAAATGGGGCTGCATTGCCTTGCTTCAAGTTTATGTACCACCATGTGATTACCGCAAAGATTTTCTATATTGATATAACACAAAGCCAAATTAGTTGGTTAACTGCTTCCTTTCTTTAAAAAAAGGACACGGAGAACACTAAGTTCTTTTTAAAAACTCCTGATTCAGAAATTCTTCTGGAGGGGCAGAATAAATGCAGAAATGACTGGCTGATCTCTGATTTTTTAATAGTTAATCTGAGATCGGCACTCACCTTTCATGAGGTCAGAGTCCAATTGGCATTGTATAATTGCAATAAGACTTGTACAGTCGACATGGGAGGAGAAAACTGTCCGTACCGGTTTGAACAAAAATGGAAAGTGCTGTTAATTGTTGTGTTGACAGAGTCTTAAACTTAATTGCTGCAGCTTAAAAAGCTTAAAAGCAGTTGTAATGGTAGGATCTGAGGATGACTCACTGCGCATTAATCATGAGGAACTGTTTTTAATATTACAGTAGGTGGAAATCCCTCTGCATCAGCCACAATTAGGAATATGAGCATTACACTGAAGCTGTTACTGGACCTGGAAGCTTTGCATGTGCCTGATGCTTAATTGAGAGTAGCACAAAATGGAGAACTAGGGAGGGTAATACCTGGTCAGTAATTGTCACTTCCCAGAAGCAGAGTGCAATGTTAACATTAGCGTCACACCCATCATCAAAAAAATTGCACTATAGATAAACCTGATGAATTTTTTAAAACATTTGAGTAAAGTGAGGGTAGAAATGTTACCGGGATTTTTATAAATCACCTTTTTAATTGAGTTAATCTTGTTTGTGTTGATTTAGAAATGGTTTGAAACTTGTTTATCGGGTACAAATTTTGATTGGCCAATGTATATGTTGCTCCTTGATAAGTTATTTCTAACCGTTAAAACTGTTTTAAATAATTGCGAAATGTTCACTTCAAATTTGTTTTGCCTGTGTAAGGTTCTGATTAAGCAAAATGTCTAGATGGTTCAAACAGAAGAAAAACCACCAAGGAATCGCAGCAATTACATTGCAAGTTGTTAACCTGCCAGTATTCTTTCTAGGTGAGAAGTTTTTTGACATTGACAGTGGGAGGAATACTCCACTTCACGCTCCTGCTTCAGAACATTACACCATTGTATTCAACACTTTCGTCATGATGCAGCTTTTCAATGAAATCAATGCTCGCAAAATTCACGGGGAGCGGAACGTGTTTGAAGCAATTTTCCGAAACCCCATCTTTTGCAGTATTATTGTGGGCACTTTTCTAATTCAGGTAGAGCATTTTTCTAGTTGCATGTGTATTTCTTTCTGATTATTTAATTAAGTTCCTTCTCGATCAGTTTTGCAGGCAGTGAGTAAACAAAGCGGAGTAATAAAACAAATAATGCCAACCCCTATGTTCAGTTTAATTTTTTTGAACATCATACTCCGAGTACACACTGTGTTGATCTGACCATTCTACCTGCCTGACATGAAGATACAACTCATATTAGTCTCAATGCAGCATGTTTTGGTTGCTTTCTCTCTGTGTGATGCTTCTATCACTCTCGTCAATATAGACAGAAGATAACTGCAAAATAATTGTCAGGTTCATTTGTTTGTGAAATAGTGTGTTTCCTTAAACTGTAAGTGACCCTTCTAAAGTGATATAAATGTTATGTTTTCAAGAGCACATGCAAGCTGTTGTGCCCACTGCAGTGTGCCAGAGCATAACCGTTACACCATTCCAGCACCACTTATGGTCTACATTAGGAAACCCATTTTGTGCCCTTGGCAACAGGCAGATATGCATGTAACACTAAACTTTTGTTCCATGAAGCTTTTGTTACTTTAGAATAAGGATAAATAGACTTTCAGATTATAATCTTGCATTTTGAAAGTGGGATGTTTTATTTTGTGGAATAGCAGGCTTTAAAAACCAGCCTTTTAATCTGTACTAATTGAAGCTATTCCTGCACCTTAACTGTTGGGCAGATATCAGAACTATGTATTTTGCACTAAATTGAATTCTTGTGAGCAATACTGAAAAATTGAGGGCAAGGACTGGGCATTAAATGAATTGTTTGTTATTTAGTCATTATTGTATGTATAGGTATTCTTCAAACTGGTTTATACTCATCCAAATACAAGGTGGACTTTTAGAAAGACCATTACTGCATCTTGGCTGTGAGGGGTAATTTTGTGACGGACAGATTCTAACAAATGGATTTATAGTGGGACCCTCACCTGAAGGGAGTTCACACCAGAACTCAGGCACCTCTTTCTAAGTTATGCTGTCATTATTATGTTCATATGTATCAAATGTCATTTTGCATCAATTTGAAAGTAAAGGCAGCCTATCTACATTGGAAAGAACTGAAGATGTTGCATGGCTGTTGTACAATTTATTTCCTGAGCCTAAGTAGAGAAAGATGAAAATTTGTGGCTGGCAAAAGTGACAAAGCAGAGTTTTGTTTTTGTGCCTTGGTGTTCTCTAATGGAAACATCAAAATATTATTATTAGTTGGCAAATCTCTATTCAAATAATCACATGATTATTTGTTGTGGCTTTGGCGTGACGGTGAGGAACGTGCTACTGGACTGAAATATCAAACAGAACGTTTTAACTGAATTTGCTGTAAATGAGCGAAGATGTTTACATAGTTGTGGGAGTGGTGTAGAAATCCCACTAACAGTAACACTTGGCAAGGATAGAATAGAAATGAAGAAATAATGGTAGCTTGTCAGAAAGGTAACCTGAGGATTATGATGGGGGATTTCCCATCAACTTATACACTTGGATGGGAAAAATCGGATGGATAAAGGTGATAGTTCATTAAAAAAAAAATTGAGCAAAGTTCTTAAGCAACGCGCTGGAGCTGACCTGAGAGCCGGCATTACGAGACCTGGTACTGTGCAACAATCTAGGATTAATTCATGACTTCACAGTGTTATGACCAGTCCCCAAACGAAATACCACAAGTTGTTAGAGTTCCAGATGTGAAGATCGTGAGCAAGGAGATACGATCTGGCACTTTTTGGTTGGCCACAACAAGATTAATTCACAAAGGATCCCCTTCCTTCTAGATACCTTTCTCCCAGACCAAAAACATTGATGCTTAAAAGGAGTCAATTTATCCCGAGATAGTAAGAACTGCCGATGCTGAAGTCAGAGATAACACAGTGTGGAGCTGGAGGAACACAGCAGGCCAGGCAGCATCAGAGAAGGGTACTGACCCGAAACGTAAACATTCCTGCTGCTCTGATGCTGCCTGACCTGCTATGTTCCTTCAGCTCCACACTGTGTTATCTCAATATAACCAGGTGTTGTTCAGGTAATAAAAGTAACTTTTAGCTTATAAACATGAGAATAAATAATAACGCATCACTCACAGTAGAAATGAGAAGTGCGTCCAACAAAAAGATAAATATTAAATATATATAGATCAATGTCCAACTCATTATTGAAGAATAGATTGTGGGACATTTGATAATTGAACTGTTGGTTTTGAAATTCTTGGTTTTGCGGATTTATTAAAATTCTTTTCTCCTGGTTCATTTGGATCCTAATGATGGTTAGCTCACTCAGAGAGACAGTCCTTTACCTGTAATACTGGGATGACTGGTAGGTGGTTCTTCAGCTGTGACCTTCACAGCAATCTAACATTCGAACCCAAGCTTGTATACACAAGTACCATCTCCTATCCACGTGCCTGTCCAAATGTCTTTTAAATGTTGTAATTGTACTCGCCTTTACCACTTGCTTTTTTACATCAAGTTTTTCATCTAGGATTTCTGGGACAGAATTATACAGAATGTATTAGGGTAAAATGGATTGTAAATTGGAATTAGATGTGAAAGTCGCTCGTCAATACCATCTTGAGGGACACTGAGAAACTGCAGTAAAGGCTGCCGAAATCAGATGCCCACATCCAGTGAAAATTTTGTAAACTCAAATTTCAACTTGCTGTTTTTGCAAATTCCTAAAAAAAAAGACCACTTGGCAGTAGAACTTTAGAGAACTGCATAGCATTGGGAATTGTACACCTTGTAAACTAGTATTATCTAAAAATTATTACTTGTTTTATAATGTGAGACTCTGGTCCGATATATGATGCTATTTTTTAATTGCAGATTATTATTGTGGAGTTTGGAGGGAAGCCATTCAGCTGCTCGGGGCTAACCCTTGACCAGTGGCTGTGGTGCATTTTCATTGGGGTTGGTGAGCTTCTCTGGGGCCAGGTAAGTGGCTGTCTTAATCCAGTCACTGGTGCACGTCTTCAAAGCACATAGCTTCAAAATGTGGCCAGCATAATCAAGACCAAATCCAATTGATGTATTTCACTCCATTGCTGGCTTAATCTATTTCTTGATTTTTTTTTTTTGTTTGCCCTTGAGACATTGCACCATGCCCATTGAATTTGAATTACTAGATGACCAGATAAGGTTTCTTCATCTTAATAAAGTCAACATCAGCTTGCATTCATACAAAACCTTTCAAAGTAGCAAAACACCCTAAGGCTCCTAACAGGAGTGTTAGTTAAAATATTGTATCTTGTATCATTCGGTACCTCTCAATGTTCTTATGGTTCGGAATGTTTACATTTACTCTCGTTCTGCTCTTAATTTATTCAAAATTGGAACAATGCACAATATACTGATTTTAAAAAAAGTCAAAATATTATCTTCAGGTAATCTCCACAATTCCAACAAGTCGCCTAAAGTTCCTGAAGGAAGCTGGCCATGGTACAACGAAAGACAATATCCCTGAAGGAGAGTTAATGGAGGACAATGATGAAATTGACCATGCTGAGATGGAACTTCGTCGGGGACAGATCCTCTGGTTCAGAGGTCTGAATAGAATCCAGACTCAGGTATGCTGACAAATTCATAGCCCACCACAGCAATGGATCGCTGACTGGAAGCTGTTCAAAACGAACTAGACCTCTTTTATCACCCCAAAAAAGCTCCCAGTTCCCACTATCTTTACCAGCATCTTTCAGTGAATTTTTTTTTTTTGTTGTTTAAACGAAAATAGTATTCATATAAACTGTCCCTCCTCTAGGTAATGTCTACCCAAAGTTATGCCATGTGTTTAGAAACAATCTGTATACAAATTCTTGTTTACCTGGCCAAAAATAACCTCTGCTTCAGGAATTCTGCTCTTCTGTCTCTCTTCCCTCTCCAAGTGGCTGTCACATTTTTTTTTTTTGCAGTGCCTTTTTTCCTTCCTTTTTATTATTCTAGTCTTGTTGTGGGGTGCTTGATCTTGTCCAGTATAACTGGGACTTTACTTCCTTTTATTTATTTTCACTGTTTTGCTTTATTTTCCTTGTCTTTCTGCCAGCATTCTTTCTTTCTCTCTTCGTTCCTTTGCTTTGTCGGCATTCCCTTTAACTCGTAGTCTCACTCCGCTTCCCCTCCTGTTGCCCCTCCAACCTTTCCCTACCAAGTAGTTGTCCCTTCTGTCTGACCCCCTTCCCCAATTTAATTCTATCCTCGGTCTCTCTAACCCCCTGGTGCTTTCAGTCCTGCACCCCATCTCTCTAACTTTTCAATGTGGAGCAAAGCTGTCTTATTTTCTGATTCTTTGCAGATGGGCGTTGTCAACACATTCCAGGGTGGACCTTCCTTGCAGGGAGCACTGAGGCGGCAGCCCTCCATAGTCAGCCAACACCACGATGTAAAAAATCTTTCTACCCCAACACATGTAGTGCTTTCTACTGGCAATACTACTCCTACTACTTCTGCTACTACTACTGTGGGGCGTGAGTGCCGGTTTCTTAAAACAAAAACTGCATGAAATTAATATCATCTCTGTCCATGCACTTAACTTCTTTTTTTCCCCTTTTAGTTTCCTGAATGTTCTCTCATTTCAGCCTTTTCTGTTTTAACTTTTATTTCAAAGGTTGCTGCATCTAAACATTTTTCTTTTTCTCACAGGAATGGAGTTTTTCAGATAAACACACAAAAGATGTCATTGTAAAAAGAAATAGATATAGTAGGGGTGCAACGACTATTGTCTATTTCAAAAATCCATGGAATATTGAATTTTTTTTCTTATTTTCTAGATAGACAGACTGAATTTGCTCTGATTTTAACCAGTGCATTCACCTAACACAAGGCCAATACATTAACATACTTTTCTTTTTTCAGAAAAATCTATAATATATGCTTTGAAGAGCATTTAGGCTCTACTTAAAGGTTGAAATGTTTGACATTGATTCCCAATTTAAGAAAGGTCCTGAAATTCTGCAAGTTAATGATACCACAAATTCCCCTTGATGCAGATATAGTTTTAACTCTGCAGCACTATTTCATAGTTTGGGATAATGATTTTTATTTAAAAAGTGTAATGATGCAGTCATATCTGTCACTTGCACTGAGTAATAAGATTGTCCTGTGTATTTTAAAACTGCAGAGGTAGTGTTTCATAACCTACCCCTGCTTATAAGTCAACGCATATTTGGTCCTCTGGTCTGAGAATGTGAAAAGAATAAGTGATATGGCGCCTCAAGTTTGCTCCTTTATTCAATAAGATTGTGGCCAATCAAACATGACAGCCCAACTTTCCTGCCTTCCCCCTCTTTGATTCCACTTTCCCTTGCATCCACCTATAATTTCCTCCATTTGTTGCACAAGTTTGCAATGTTTTGCATATATTAAGATATATTAAGGGGAGTATTGAGTTCATCATTAATATTTTACCAAGGATTTTAAACTTCAGTAAAAGCTAGATACTTTCACGTTCTCCCAGTTTTTGAGACAACGCCACACAATTAATGCATTAATTAACACTAAGCTAGTGCTTTAAGGAATAACTTGGTGTAGCAAGTCATAAATTTGATTTCATTTTGCTATCTGCTTAGCATTTCACTTGAAATCAATGAATTGCAAAGTTTCTATCTAGTTTTGGGAAAGGGGCAGTGATGCCAGCACAGGGCACTTTATTAGATGCAGGGATGTCACAATGCAACCTGTAACAGTAACTAAACCCTTTTATATGCATACTTTTTTTTTCTAGTAGCTTGCAGCTATGTCTGGTTCTGTATAGCACTAATCCAATTTTATATATGAAAGACCAAGCAAATCCTTGTTGGATCGGAACTATGCTGCTATGCCACCATATGATACTGAAATTATCAAGTTAATTTAACTTTTCTTCCAGGGCACAAAATCTTTCTTCTGTCCTTCTTTTTCTTTTGCTGTATTTGCGTTTTATAATTCCAATTTTGTTGAACATAATGTGCAATATGTTGACTTACCTTATTGTATTATGACATCCCTGTCTTGGCTCAGTGGTGAAAGCCTATAAGTGCACAATGAGGCCATGATTTCACTGCTCAACTTCAAATACTCTTTGCACCTCTGTTAGCCGAATTTTATTGTCTATTAATCTAGCTTGAGTTCACGGTGTAAATGTTCGAGTGTAAGCCCAAGACTCTTTGAGGTTTTTCGAATGTCCGAGGTCTATAAGCACTCAATTTAAATGATGTAAGTTGTCTTGACTCTTAGAACTAGAAAGCATGTGTTTTCATCTCTAGGCATCTACGACAGTAAGGCTACAGGACATAGAATACAAAGGTTGAGAGTTGCTAGTTGTATTCTAAGCCTGTAAGAAGCTATAAGTTGCAAATCAAATCAGTAGTTATAGGGATCAATTATTAAATAGTCACTTTTATATTGTTTTGTGAAATGGTCTTAATTAACTGAAATCCTAGACATCTACATTAACATTGTGCTGCTGTCAACATTCAGCCTTAAAAGGCAGGGAGAAAGTACTCTTCGTCTTCCTGAAAAGTCACTTTAAAATGCCTTTGTCATCTTTTGGAAGAACATTTGTATGTAATCTGTGACAGCTAATTACTGGAAGTCAGACATTTTCCAAGTAAACTTGTCTTTCTTTTGCAGCAGAAGATCGTGCCTGTGAAACTTGTGTTATTTACTGTCTATTGATTGTAGACTGCAACCTTTTTACTTGCTTTGTTGTTTTGCAATTGAGCTTTCAGCAGTTTTGCTTCATTGCCTTGACAAGAGTGATGTTGTATGGAATTCAAAGCCATAATGGGTTTTTTCCCTTTATTTTGACCGGAGTTAGTAGCAGCAAGGCATGTCAGAAATGTTTTTAATTTTTATGCATAGCTGTTAATTTTGCTTAAGAGTTACAGAGGAGATAAGTTTGAGCTTGTGAGAGGCTGCTTTGAAATGGAATGGCAGCTGTGGGAGCTTGACAGTTTGTGCAGTTTGGTTCTGGTACAATAACATCTTCCCCATTTATCCATGCACTAGAAGCTATTGCTATTTTCAAGTCTACTGAAGGAACTCTTAATGTGGTGGGAAAATGCCAATGGAATGCCTTTAATCAATCATACATGTGTATTGGAAAGCCTTTTTAGATATTTTCTAATCAACCTGTTCTGTGATGTTATCGCACACCTCTTAAGCAGGCAGAACTTGAACCCAGGCCTCTTGGCTCAGGTTGCCACTGTGCCATAAGACCTCACTCCAGAGAACCGTGTTTTTTTTTAAAGCATCGGAATAAATTGGAAGAAGCTATATGTCCTGAACATGACTCAGTAAATTTGAGTCTTGAAACTTTTAAAAATTCTCTGCAGTGAAATTTCTGAATGAGCTTGCTTTAGCAACTGCCACAGAACTCCTTGTTACTTTCAATTTTATTTCCAATAGTTTAGATGTGCACCAGGGCATCTGTTGAAAATTTGAAGTGACCCACCAATTTACTTCGGTTCTTTTGAAGAAAATTTGAGCGCGGTAATTTAAACAATAGAGTGAAAATGTGTGTAAGAAAAATTACGTATTTCATCACGTTAGACTTGATTACCTAGAATGTCATTTTACACTGGAAACCTTAGTGAAAGACGAGTGCAACCGTTAAATGAATGGTTCAGTAGCTCTTTGCGATTTAACAAATTTGCTGATGGTTTTCTACTCCTGTGTACAGTAGAAAACTGCACTCAGCATTCAAGTGAAGGGTTCAACAAACTCTTGTAGTGAAGGAAAATCAGTTACTGGCCTTTACATGAGTTGAAAGACAAAAAGTTTTTGTACTCCACAGTAAATAGTCTGTACTTGCGTGGAATCTGATTTCATAGCATTTACATTAAGCATTGAAGAACGTCACTGTTGCAACTTTAACAGTAGGTCACAAATGTATCCTGCCAATAGCTGAACTGCAGAGACTGTGAAGGTTCCAGTTTAGACCCACTTTTTTGTTCTTCTGTTGCCTTATCAGAGGGAAGAGAAATTGAAGTTTGCCTCAATGATACTGATAAGCCAGTTCACAAACTGGAGTACTTGCTAATCAGCACGTGTGTGGATGTAGAGAAATGAGCCCAGAACCAGGCTGCCGAAAGTGTAGTTAGATAATCTGATGATGTGGCTGGTGTATGAAAAATTATTTAGGCAAAATGTAGGAAAATGGATTTATAAAATGTGGAGAGAGAAAATTGGTAGAAGGGTAAATATTCACTCTTTTTTTTGTGTAACATTGTGTCTCATTAATTTGCATATCCAAAGAAAATAGATCTTCACACAATGTTAATTAAAACTAAAACTTTAACTTTTCATTGTATCAATTTTTACAATACCAAAAGTTCAGGGCGTTTGTTGTGGAGGGGGGAAGAAGATCACCTGAATTGAATGAATGGGGAAAAATTAGAGGTTGTAACCCTGATCAGGACAAATTTAAGGGCGTGAAAGTAATAGAAATTGGACAATTTTTTGTGCCTTTATCATAGGACTTTTGAGCATTCCCAGGTATGGATGCAACATTGAGAGACAGAATTGGGCTTTGAGAAAAATTAAGAGATTTGTGGGGAAAAGAAATTGCCTGAAGGTAGCTTCACTATTGGAG